AAGCTATGACTGGAAATCATCTCAATGAGAGTTCGTTGTTTTAGGGTCTGTAAACCAAGCTGGGGTCTCAGCTCACGGACGCTGGGGTACGTTGCTGGTTTTAGAACAAATCGCACAAGTCACTTGGTGCGACTCCAACGTAAGGACAACTGGGAGGAGGGTGCAGGATCAAGCAGTGTTTTGTTCCGTGGAACACAGGGTCACTGTGAGTCGGAACTAACTCCTGGACCACGACACCGAACAACAATTCAGAAATAAACTTGGGTAACCCCGCCCTAACCCTAACCCTAACCCTGTGCAAAGGAGCAGTTTCCAACACGGGTGACAGCCCTGCAGCACCACAGGCAAGCCCATTCTTACCTCCTGTGTAGAGGAAGGAGCTGGACAGGCCTCCAAAGTAGATGAGAGCTAAGTGCTCCAGTCTCAGAGGGGACAAGCAGTAGAGGCAAGCTGCACAGACACAGCCCAAGGTGTAGAGGAAGACTCCGAAGCGGACAACATCCTGGGGCTCCAAGATCCGGTCCACCAGAGTCCTATCGTCACTCTTTTTATGGTCAATGCCCTTGGAAAAGTCATAATAAGTGTTGACCAAATTGCCAGCCCCGTGCACAGCCAGGACGGCCACGGCACAGCCCACCAGGAGCCTGGGATCCAGGTCGCCCTGGGATCTGTAGGCCAGGGCACTGCCCAGGGCCACCGGGGTGAGGGAGGCACTGAAACTCCAGGGCCGCAGGGCCAACACGTAAGAGGCGCACTTCTGCTTCCACGAGCGCTGGGGCGGCCTGTCCTGCCCGGGACAGTCGTTCCCAAGGGGCTGCCTGTCCCCCGCTCTGGCCGTCTCTCCCGCGTGGATGCTAATCTTCTCCCCCGGGACCTGCGTGGCCGCCATGGGCCCTGCACGTGCCGCAACTGGGCTCGAAAGGGAGCCTCCCACGGAGCAGCGACTGCCCCGGGGCCAGCAGGGAAGGGGCGGGGCGGCGGGGCCTGACCTTCCTCCGGATGCGCCCCGGGGCAGAGGCTTGGCAGCAGCGTTCAAGCACTAGAGCGAGCGGGCCTTGCACGCCACGAAGGCCAGCGGCACTGCCCTGACCACGAGCCACCGGGGAGAGGACTGTCTCCAGCCCACGGCTCCGCGTCGGAGTCAAAGGCCCAGCCGCGCCCGCCTTCCCCTGGCCACCGGGGCCATCTTGTGCGCCGG